TCATGCCTTAGCTCCCAAAGCCCATGGTTTAGTAACCAAGCATCCTCACAATGCTTTGGAGTAGGTATTTCCTTGGCTACATATCCTTTTTACCTTAGTTTATTTTAATTGTTTTATGAGTATGTGTGTATTGCATGCAGGTATGCAAGTGCACCCATGTCGTGCAATGTCTGCAGAGGACAGAAGAGGGCATTGGATCCCCTAGAACTAGAGTTACAGAGAGTTGTTAGCTGCTATGTGGGTGCTTGGATTCAAACCCAGGTCTTCTGCAAGAACATCCAGTGCTCTGAACCTCTGGGTCATCTCTCCAGCCCCCTTGTTTGTATCATTTTTAAATATGGCCATTCATTAAGGTCTGGAACATGGACATAGAATAGCAAAATTTAAATAGTATGATGAGAGAGGCCTTTACTCAAATTTCCAGGAAAACATTTTTCATTTCCATCAGCAATTTGGACCACTTATTCACCCCGAGACATTCTAGCTCTTCCCCAGTCTCCCTGCCCTTTCTAAGCCCACACCACAGAGATCTCATGTGTTCCATTTATAGTATTTGATGCATTTTGTATCTTTTGCTCCAAGTTCTATCAACTTTTCCCCCATTACTTAGCTCCAGAGCCATTTCCATACTTTCAGGTACCCATTACTAGCTCCGTTCTCACCAACAACTCACTGTATTAATCTGAGTCTCATTGAATAAAGATGTGTGCTGCCAGCCTGATGACCTGAGTCCAATCCCTGGAACCCACATGGTGAAAGGAGAGAACCAACTCCTGAAAGCTATCCTCTCTACATGGGAACCACAGCACCCACATATGAGCATACTACACATATGAGCATCCATACACACACACATATGAGTGTATGTATGTTTACAATGAGTAAATAAATGCAAAAAAATTATAAATGGGCTGGAGAGATGGTCAGTGCTTATGAGCATATACCTCTCTTTCAGAGGACCCAAAATCAGTTCCCAGTACACACATCAGGCAGCTAATAACTCCCTGTAACTCCAGTTCCAGGAGACCTGACATCTTTTGGCCTCTGTAGGCATCAACACTCACAGGTATATACCTACACACAGACACACACTCATACACATAATTAAACAATTTTAAAATCTTCTTAAAATTTTAAAAGTTTATAAAAAAGTAGCATAGCATGGGATTTATAACGTGTATAAATAAAATGTATAACAAATGTCCAAAGGACAGAAAAGAGGATGGATATTGTTATTATAATGTTTTCATCTGTGAAGGAATATGATGCCATTCAAAGAAGATTGTGGTAAATTTAGAGATGCACAGTGTTAATCATGACATAAACTCTAGCTTTCCATCTGCCAAAAATGAGCCCTAAGAAGTGAAAAGTGGGGACTGGAGAGATGGCTCAGCAGTTAAGAGCACTGGCGACTCTTCAGAGGACCCAGGTTTGATTCCCAGCACCCACATGGCAGATAACAACCATCTATAACTTCAGTTCTAGGGGTTCTGACATCCTCTTCTGGTCTCTGCAGGCATGGTGCACCCCAGGTGCACTTACATACGTATAGGCAATACACTCATAAACTCATAAAATAAAAATAATAAAATACTTTCTTAAAAGTCAAAGGTGAAGACAAAAAAAAATGTAATACCAAAAATACTCAGTGCATCAAAAATAAGCAGGAAAAAAGGGAAAAACAATTAGCAAACGTGAAAAGAAGGTAAAAACAGTAACTTAGTAGACTTAGTAGATTTAATCATTCTATTAAGTGTAAATGGAAGCCCAACTCTCAAGAGGCACAGACAGGTGGCTCTCTATGAAATCAAGCCTAGCCTGGTCTACATAGAAAGTTACAGGCCAGCTGGGGCTACAAGGAGACCTTATCTCAAAAAAAAAGTAAACGGTCAGTGGATGGCCCCACACCCAGAGGTATATTGACAGCAATAAATAGGAGTTGATGGGATATTAAATTAAAGAGAAAACATAAAGCTGGGGAAGACAGGAAGATAGGGTGGATGGGGGAGCAGAGGTGAATGTGATCAAAGTACACTGTATGAAATTCTCAAAGAATAAGAATATTTATTAAAAGATAAGCGCATCTCTCATTAGCATATAAGTTTTTCTTTAATAAATGGCAAAAATTATATTTATGCCCAAGAATTGTTTTAAAATAATTTTCCTTACAATTAAAAAATGCATAAATGGTCTGAATGTCCATAAAAGGAAGAGACGATCAAAGCGCATAAACAGGTTAGACCCAACTATGTCCCATAAGTTTTGCAGTGGATTTGGGACACTGGTACTATTTAGTAGCTGCTAATTTGGGTTCCCTGATCTTACAGAATGCTAGTTATTATCTGTATTAAATTCCTTTCTGACTAAACTGTCTAAATGGATTTGTGAGTCTTGCCAGGAGGAGCCCACGTGTACAATGAGATGTGAGATGCAGAAGTGTTTAGCAGCTCTTGGGAAAGCTCAGTACATCCTGATCTCAGTCCCTTCCCTAGCAACCTGGGTGTGCAAGCATTAATTACAGGATGTGCACTCTGTTCTGTCAAGATTACGTGGTAATATTCTCTACTCAGGTAACCAGGAAAGATATACAGGTCTTCTAGGCCAGCGCCAGACCACATCTTGCCATGTGCTCTTTTGTCAGGGTAGTATTTAGGATGTACAATAAACTCACACCAAGGGCTCAGAGAAATAGAGCAATGCTAATGCTATAGGGAAAACAGTGACTATTTTTAGTCCATAAACCCTGGACTGGAGGCCTTGTCAAGGCGTTGGCTTCCCTAATCTATGTGGCCTCATTTATATCACATATTCTCAGATTCTAGATATGAGCACAAAGTAAAACAAAATTGGGAACAAAACACAGTTATTTTTGTGTGATTCATTTCCCAAATTGACTTGTGTGCTGATTAAGGCTGAAGTCCAATTTGCCCATCACGTTGCCAGGGCAACTGGAAGCTTAAGAGAATGACAATCCCTCCTGTTGACTGGGGCTCAGGATGGAGTGTTAGTCTGCTTTCCTTAAGACTGGATATTCAAAACTGATTGCAGCTCACAGGAGAAAAAATGATTTCAAAATAACTGCTCCATATGAAGGTAGCAAGCCACAGGCTTTGATACTAGGCCGTTGGGTTTGAATGCAGCTCTGGTACCCACTATTTGTATCAATGATACACTCACTGCAGCTTTGGAGTCACTTTCTTAATCTCTAAAATGGAAAGATAAACATACGTTTTATAGTAATGTTGGAAAGACTCAAGTGTTCATAAGCATTCAGTATAAATATAATAGGCACTATATAATATTTTTTATTTCACATGCCACCTAAGAACATGGTAATTAATAATAGCTGCCATCTGCTGAACTTTCACTATATACTGCACAGCCAGTGAAGGGTTCATATGTAGTACCATATTTAAATGTGTATAACAAGCCTTCAAACCATTTAACCCTGCTTTATTTTTTTTAATTTTTAAAAAATATTATTATTATTATTTTTATGTGTATTCGTGTATTGCCTGCATGTAGGTAAGACCTGTGTCATGAAATGCCCACGGAGGACAGAAGAGGCTGTCGGATCCTCTGGGACTGGAGTTACTGACAGTTGTTAGCTACCATGTGGATGCTGGGATTTGAACTCGGGTCTTCTGCAAGAACAACCAGTGTCTTAACCACTGAGCCATCTCTCCAGCCCCTATTTTTTTCTATTTTAATTAATTAATTAATTTTGGTCTTTTTGAGACAGGGTCTCCCTGTAGCCCCAGCTGGCCTGGAACTCGCTAAGTAAACCAGGCTGGCTTCGAACTCACAGAGATCCACCTGCCTCTGCCTCCTGAGTCCTGGGATTAACGGTGTGAGGCTACCACACCCAGCTATTTTATTTATTTTTATTTTATGTGCAAGAGTGTTTCAACTGCATGTATGTAAGTTCACCACATGTGTGTAATGCCCCACAGAGGCCAGAAGAGGGTGTTGGATCCCCTGGAACTTGAGTTATAGATGGTTGTTAGCTGCCATGTGGGTTCTGGGAATTAAACCAGGTCCTATGGAAGAACAGCAAGTGTTCTGAACCACTGGGCCATCTCTCCAGCCCCCTTTAACCCTGCTTTAGAATTCAGTGTTCAGAGAGGTTAAGGGACCTATCCTTGGTCACAGAGCTTGTGGAAGATTCAAGATCTAGACCCAGACTAGTCTGGGTCTTTCATGAGTTCATATATTTACTTATTTGACATATATTTATTGAATACTTCCAAATTTTTTTTTTTTTTTTGGTCTCTTTTGAGACAGGGTCTCCCTGTAGTGCCAGCTGACCTGGAACTTACTATGTAGACCAGGCTGACCTTGAACTCACAGAGATTTGCCTGCCTCTGTCTCCGAAGTGCTGGGACTAAAGGTGTGCCCCACCACACCTGGAAAGTACTTACAACTTTTAACCACCACATAAAACAGTGATATATGGTTATCAGTGAACACTCAAGGCTAATACCTCCTGGATCACAAAGATGCTTGCTCTCATCTAACCCTCAGAGTACTCAGAGAGGTTCTATTATTATCACTATCCACCTTTCTAGCGAGGAACTTTGGGCAGGCAGAGTTTCTGGGGGTGGTTGAGAGGAGACAGTGAAATAATGTTCTGCGGGCAGCAGAGCTGGAATCTGAGTCCAGGAAGTCTTAGAGCCCTGAGTTTTGGGTTGGGGACTTTCGCTCTGTGTTTTTGTTGTATGAGTAGAGTTGAATTTCCCTAAGTCAAATGCTCACACAACACAAGCCCACCCCATGTCAGCAACTCCAAAAGCTAGTGCCCCACAGTCTTAGCTGGTCCCCTTCTCTCCTCTAAGAGAACGTGTCCCACTTTGGACAGGACTGCTGTCTTCACCTGTGGTCAGAGAAGCAGCCTAGATGTACACGCAGTAGGAGCACAGTAAGTGTTTGGAAAAGGAAAGAGGGAAGGAAGGAGGTGGGGGAAAGCCAGGCCCCCCAACAGCTTTTGTAGACAGCCTCACCTTCCTCAGCTTCTTTCTTTCCAGCTCCACAGAGGAGCGCACTGACTTCATCTCCACAGTGTGCTTCTTCACCACGTCTTCCAGGCGCTTCACCAGCTGGTCTCTGAGCTGCTGCTTCTCCTCCTCAGTCTGTCGTCTGACTTTACGCAGGTCTTCCTCATGCTGCTGTTTCATATGCTCCATTTCACCACTTGCCTCTTTCTTCATCTATAAAGAGAAATATGACTTTGTAAACCTGCTGGGGAGAGATGAGGCCCATGTCTCTTCTGCATATTTATATACAGATTTTATAGCAAGTACCAGAAGGTACAGAGGATTTTATAAGATTATATGTTTGATACTTCATATTTTATTTATTATATATTTGATACTTCATATTTCATATTTTATTTTATTTTCACGTGTATGAGTATATTGCCTGCATGTATGTATGTACACCCATGTTGTGCAATGCTTGAGAAGGTCAGAAGGCATCAGATCCCCTACAACTGGAGTTAGGACAGTGGTTAGCCTCCATGTGGGTGCTGGGATTTGAACCCAGGTCCTCTGCAGGAGCAGCCACTGCTCTTAACCATGGAGCCATTTCTCTATAGTGGGTCCCTATATTTGATATTTGAGATTTCACTTTACCCACTATTGGAAGAAGGATTTCTGGAATACTGTAGCTATGGTCAGAGGGTCAGTTTCTAACGAATACTTGATTTGTTTGGGTGGAAATATGTCATAGCAATGCTTACTTTTTCAGGTGAATAAAAAAACTTGGGAGAATTATGCTACATTCTTGTTCTCTTAGGATTGAGTGACATGAAACTGGCAAGAAGCGGTGTGACCTCTGCTCTTGCTTCATCTATCCTTGAATCATGGCACCTGAGGTTTTCAGTTATTGCTCTGTGGTTGGAGAATGGCCTCTACCCAAAGTGCATGCCGATCTCCTGTGACTTCTCCACCCTCAGTGCTGTCAGACGCTTACCTGTGTTTCTGAGCCACCTTTAGTGCACGGACACTCCTTAAGAAAGTCTTGATCCCACTGAGGATGAAGACTGCAGGCCTCCAAGTCATTTGCTTTCCCCAGGACTTTATTCTCAGTCTTCATGTCATCTGCATATATACGTTTCAACATTATTTGGGGTGGTCGTGGACATGGTCTCATGCCCAAGGCCTTCTGAAGTCTGGTTGACTGTTCAATCATTTTGCTTACCACTCATCTACACAATCCCTGCTCCAAGGCCTGCAGCCCTCCCATAAGGGCAATGTAATGTTCTCATTTTTGTTCGAAGCTGTATCCTGAGCTTAAATAATTGCTACACTATCCCTTCCTAAATAAAAATTCGAGAGCTTTTTGTAGAGGAAGCCTAATGAAAGGTGCTTAGAATCAGATATATTTATATCTAAACAGGAGCTTTATCCAACCATGTAGCTGACCTTCAATCAACTATTTATCCTCTCTTGGCCTCAGTTCACCATCTGTAATATGGGACAACAACTGTACCTGTTTCACAAAATTATTGGGAGGACCCAGTGATAGATTTCACACATCATTGTGTGAAATGACGCTAAAATTACAAAGTCCTCACAAGTCACGGAGGAGGGAAAGCAGAAGTGCAGGCACCATGAGGAGCCTAGTGGGGTAGTATTTGGAGCAAGGGGTCCTTTTCATCCACCCGTTAGATGTCTGGCCTGTGCAGCTCCAGGTGAGGAGCTGTTGTTGGCTTACCTATGGGGCTTCAGTTCACCCACCTAGCAGGCCAGATCCAACAGCCCTGTTCCTGCTCCCTGTTCCCTGTTCCCTCACTCTTGAGACTGTCCACTGGCACCAAGCTAAGCCTGGCAGCCAATCTTAGGTCCTAAAGGAATCACTACAGGGTATCTTACCAGTTTTCTGTGTCACATGACACTCCTGTAGTATCAGTCTGTCTTTGGCAACAGCCAGCTTCTCGCCAAGTTTTTTTGCAGTGCTTTTCAACTCCGAATTCTCCTGCCGAGCCTCCCTTAGCTGCACGTCCAGATCCTAAACAGAAGGAAGGTCTCAGTTCTCTGGATAGAGACATGCTGAGTGCATACAACAGTCCTGTGATCTGAAATGTAGGAAAGGGCTCAGCAGGGGCCCAGGGCTCTGGAATTAGTGATAGGGGTTCATCAAATTCCTACTCATCCTCTGATGGCAGTGTGGCCTCAGGCAAGTTATTCAAGCCTTCTCCAGTGAGCACAAAATAAGATAAAATAAAGTAGAAAAAATACTCAGGGAGTATTAGAAATTCTATCTGCTGTGTTTTTCCAGAGGTGGGCTTCTGTATTTTGGCGGGGGAGGCTTATAGAACTGACTCATCAATGGGTCTGTTCCTTTGAACACAAATGTCCTAAAGATTTTAGGAGAATCAAATTATTATGAAATGAACACATAAAATTAAATAACTTAGAATTAGGCTAACTCAAGTTGAAAGGTTATTGTGTGGCCAATAGGCCAGACTTTTAAGTCCCTAACCTTCAGGTTAGACTCCTCATCTGTAAACTGCAAATCTTTGTGGTATCTGAGGCTAGGGACCAGTCTAGCTCACCATGAGTCCCCTGCCCAGGGTTAGGATCTAGCTCACAGTAAGCACTGAAAAACTGCAGAGTGAGTGTGGTTGAACCAGCACCGTGTGCCTGGCTGGCGGTAGGTGCGCAGAATCGGCGGCCCTGCTGCTCATCCCCTTGAGGAGGGAGGAGAGAGGCTTTACCTGAATCCTTTCTTTCAGCTTCTGGGCATACTTCTTCAGGTCACTTATCTTGCGCCCTCTATGCTCCAGGTCCCCTTCTAGCTTCCTGACCTGGGCCTGCAGGGCTGACTCCTGGACCTGGAAGTTCTTACGAAGGCCAGTTTCCTTTTCTTGCCACTGCCACAGGGCCTCGCTCACTGACTGCTGCATGGCCTGCCGGATGGCCTCGTTTTCCCGCTCATAGGTGGCCTGCAGCTCCTCCGCCTTGCGGGCATAGTCCTGGCTCAGCTGCTGGTTCTCAGCTCGCAGCCTCTCCACCTCCAGCAGGACTTGGTGCATCTCTGGTCCCTGACCAGGCTCTGCTGTGGTGTCAGGGCTCTCCTGGGACAGGTGGCCCCATTGGGGGCCCTCGTGGCTGGTCAGCTGCCGGAGCCTCTTCTCATAATCAGCCTTGAGCTCCAGCATCTCCTTGGAGAGCGTTAAAACTCGCTCAGCGTGCTCTGCCTCCACCCTCAGCTCCCTCTCTTTGGTCTCTAGCCTGCAGGAGGCTGACTCTGCCAGGGCCTCCTGGGTCAGCTTCTTCTGCAGCTCCAGAGCGCTCTCCAGGGCCTGGATGCGCTGCAGAAGGGTCTCTGCATCTTCGCTGGCACGACTCTGCTCCTGCAGAAGCCTGGCCCTGGTCTCTGCCACCGCCCCCTGGAGCTCCTCCTGATGGGCTTCCCGCAGGGCCTCCACGCTGGCCTCTGCCTCATCCTGGCGGGTGTTCAGGGCATAAATGACCTGCAGAATAGCAAACAGAGCATAGTTAGGGCAAGCAGGTGGTGTATGGGAGGGTGACTGTGACAAGGGATGATTTGCCCCTACTGGGGCACTGAGATCCACCCACCAGGGCAGTGCCTGAGAAGACAATTTGCAAGGTGGCAGGGACTGACGGTAACAGTAATGGTTCCCAGGAGAAGCCAGTGAAAGGGCAAAGCAGTGGGGCAGGGAGCTGGGGAACCAAGGCCAAGCAGTGAATCTGCACAAAGACGTGGAAGGCATTCTGGAAGAATTCTATAAAGGATCTCCTAGGTACAGCAGGAATCCGGGGAAGGATTTTAAAGCAAAGAAGTGATGTGATCTCATTTTTGTAAAAAGGATACTTTTGGATGGAAACAACCAATAAATTCTTAGAAAATTGAATTCAGCAATATTCCTTTTTTTAAAGATAGGCTCTCACTATGTAGCCCTGACTGGCCTAGAGCTCATTATCTAGACTGGGCTGGCCTCCAGCCCACAAAGATCTGCCTGCTTCTGCCTTCTGAGTGCTGGGATCAAAGGCATGCACCACCATATCCAGGGCTCCAGCAATATTCTTAATAGATACAGGAAAAACACTTGAGAAAACGCAGCATCTTTCCATGATTTAAAAAAAAACACTCAGAAATTAGAAATTGAAGGGACCCTCCTGGACCCAACAGAGCACATCTACAAAAACCCATAGTTAATATCACACTCAATGAGAAACACTGAATATTTCCTCAGAAGATCAGGAACCACGCAAGGATGCCTGTCCATTCTACTTCTAAAAGAAAGGCAAAAGATGCTTTCCCTGCTGTGTGGAGAATGGGATGAAAGAGACCTAGAACCCAGCTTTAAGCCCAGGAACCTAGGATGATGTCCAGGAAGTTGGCCTGAAATTGAAAGACCAGCAGGTAGGTGGGGCATGGTGGTACACACCTTTAATCCCAGCACCTGGAAGGCAGAGACAGGTGGACCTCTGTAAGTTCCAGGCTAATTTGCTCTGTATAATGAGTTCCAGGTCAGCTAGGACCACAGAGTGAGACGCTGTCAAAAGAGAGAGAGAGAAAGAGAAAGGGGGGAACGAGGAGGAGGAGGAGGAGGAGGAGGAGGAGGAGAAGAAGAAGAAGAAGAAGAAGAAGAAGAAGAAGAAGGAGAAGAAGGAGAAGGAGAAAAGGAATTATATTTAGAGGTATTCAATTTGATATGCCACTAGACATACAGGTGGAAAAGCCACCAAGGCAAGTGAATGAACATCTGGACTTTAGAGGGGGAGTCTGAGCTATAGAAGGACACAAAATCAGGAGAGTTCTGCAGCTGCTGCTGTTTGCTTCATGAGAGATGCCAGAACATATCAGTATGTAGGTAGGAATTACAAATCAGCAGAGAACCCAAAAGGTGAAGCCCCAGGAATAAAGGAAATAAAGGGTCAAAATCCCTGTGAAGGGTGTCCCACAGAGATGTGCCATTCACAAGAGATGGAAGGAGAGGAAAATGGGAACAGGCTCATGGCACTTGTGATAGGAGAATGAGGGCGACATCACCTCGCAGAGGTAGAAGGTGGCGTCTACATTCTCAACAAAGAACAGGGTGAGATCATCAAGTAGTGGTGCTGAGCTGTACAAGAAGGAAACATAGGAGGTTTGAAGAGTGAGAAGTTGTGAACTGCTTTTTAGGAAGGGGGAAATTAATTCTTTGCCCTGAGATTTTCATCAGCTGTGTTCATCAGAATGAATTCCTGGGAGAGGATGGATGGGTCACCAAGAATTTGGTTTCAATTGGCAAGTATAACAGGAGAGAAAGTCAAGACAGGAAAAGTATTTTTTAACATTTTATTTATTATTTTTATTTTATGTGTATGAGTGTATCTCCTGCATGTGTATAAGTGCACCCATGTCAACACAATGACTGTGGAGGTTAGAAGAGGGCATCAGATCCCCTGGAAATGGAATCATATAGACAGTTGTTAGCTACCTTGTGGGTGCTGGGAATCAAACCCATGTCCTCTGCAAGAGCAGCCAGTGCTCTTAACCACTGAGCCATCTCTCTAGCCCCAGGGAAAATATTTTTAAGAGTTGATGAGCTGGGTAGAGCAGAGTCAATTTTTTGTTGAAAATAAGGTCAAAGGTTTAAAGGGAGTGTGTGACCAAGGTAGAAGGAAAAGATCATTGGAAATGAGTGGGTCAAGAGATGGAAAAATAAGTCTAGGAGAGCCCCACATGAACCGTTCTCATTGATAATGAGAGATAAGATATGATAAGATAAAGAGAGGTTGCAGTGGGCATTTAAGATAGGTTCTCCTAGAGGGTCCCCACCCTTACTTTGGCACTTGTCTACTTTAGTCTTGGAGGGTTGTTCGTGTTTCCTTATGGATCTGTCTATTGAACTAGATTATCATGCCATTTTCAGATTTCTACTACTGCTTCATCTATGGTTTAAAAACTATGGCCTTGTTCTGAGTTCCTCAGGGGCTGAGTGTCATTTCAGGGAGCTTGGTAGAGGCTGAGCAGGTAGGGTCCCTCTCTTCAATCACAGAACAGCATGTATGCCAGAGATCCCCCATCATGTGGTTTAGAAAGAAACCAAAAAAGGCTTCCATTGTTTTCTTTTGTTTTTAGGTTGAAAAAATTACATAATTATGGAATAGAGAAAAAACTAAGAGGAAGTTCGGTTGTGTGTGTGTGTGTGTGTGTGTGTGTGTGTGTGTACAAATACAGTTACAAGATGGTTGTTGAAGGTCAAATGGCACCACTAGAGATGAGGTGATCAGTGTGTATAGATTTAATAACAGTTTACTAGAGACCGAAGATCTTGAAGAAAGAGTATCTCCACAGGATAAAGCCTGAGATCTGACTTTTCATTATCTCCGTGTGATAGCTACTGACTTAAGTTTTGTCTTTGCTAACAGAATGTAAGTTCCAGGAAAAAGGAGTCTGGTTTCTTGCTCATTGCTGTCCATCTCCAGTGCCTGGCTCCAAGTGGGCACTGTCAAATAATTTTCAAATGAGTGAGTGAAAGAGTGAAGCAGCCAGAACTACGTCATGAAGAATGTTACTGTCAACGGTGCACAGGATTCAGCTACTTCTGGTGATTTCTATGGTCTTCTTTGTCTAATAATGTATCTGTACTAAGTGAGTTGAAATCGACATGTTACTGTCTGTGATTTGTATTAATAATAGATACCATTTCGAGCCTCGTACATGGGTAAGTACTGTAATACATAGTCCTCAACTCAGGAAATCCCTGTGGAAACTCTATAAAGATGGTATTCTTCCTATTCTACCACTGAGAAATTGAGTTATAGAGAATTTTCATAACTTTTGGAAGCTCTAAGAAAGTATAACTAACTCAGAAATACATGCTCATGGCTCAGGATGACACTGAAACTCACTGACCCTTTCAGTAATTTATTCATTTAAGGATTTACTACATATCTGAGAATGGCTAGGTTCCGTGTGAGGCACTGGGAATAAACATAATTGAGTTTGCAACCTCAAAAATATAATTCAGAGGCCGGGTGTGGTAGCACATGCCTTTAATCCCAGTACTTGGGAGGCAGAGGCAGGCAGATCTCTGTGAGTTCAAGGCCAGCCTGGTCTACAAAGCTGGTTCCAGGCCAGCTGGGGCTATAGAGAGACCCTGTCTCAAAAAGACAAAATACATATATATTATATGTATATATAATATATACATAATATATGTATATAATTCCGGTGGGTATGGAGGTTGTTTAGTTGGTAAAGTGCAAACATGAAGATCTAAATTGGGTCTCCAGTATCCATGTAAAAGCTGGGTGTGGCAGTGCATGCTGTAATCCCGGCACTGCAGATGTGGAGACTGGAGAATCCCTGAGGCTAGCTGGCCAGTCTAGCTCAATAAGTGAGCTCCAGGTTCATTCACAAACTCCATCTTTGGAAAAAAAAGTGGAGAGAGCTTGAGGAAGATCCCTGACATTGAAAATTGAACTGTGGTCTGTACATGTGCCCCCTCAACACACACACACACACACACACACACACACACACACACACACACCATATATATTATTTTTCCTCCTTTCCCATCGGGGAGGCAGACAAGAAAGTGGAAACTTTAAAAGCTCCCTGATAAATGCCATCAGGAGACTGATGGAAAGACTTCCCAGAAAAAAAGTGAGCCTTCCTTGTTTCTTCATTATTGGGGTGACCAAATCCCCTTTCCATGTCAATTTCTGCATGAGCAAGAACAATTTCATTTCCCTGAATATTGATCCATAGACTTGATATGGAGATGAGAGCACAGTCTGCTCATATATTGATTTGGGGGGGAAGGTTACACACCACCACCATTTCATACTTTCATTCCACAGTGAAGATCTGCTGCAGGGGAGCAAACACCAAACAGAGACAGCATTTCTTAGCCACTTGCACTTAAGTGGAACCATGTGAATAGCAGTTCCCAATAGAATTAGGGTGGATGGGGTTGTGTGTGTCATCTTAGGGCCAGCATGGGGTGTATGTTCCCAGTCTTTTTGTTACCACTCCCAAACTTAAGGCCTCAAAGAATTTAGAGAGAGGTTAATTTTAAGATGGAAAGCATCTGAGCCCTGAATCACCAAAAAGGATCATTTACTGGGTGCACAGGACATGAGCTGGAAACTAAATGCTGGACCAAGTACTTCCTGGTATTTGTTGCAGCATCTGTCAGTTATTCTAATAGGTCAGTGGTTCCCAAGACTTCCCTAGGCTTGGTGATTCACTGGAGGACTCACAAACTCAGCACATATTCATACTCAAGGTTGTGATTTATTACAGCACAGGGCACAAAGCAAAATCAGCTAAGGGAAGAGATGCCTGGTGTTAAATCTGGAGGGGAAGCTTCCAAGAGCTCCCTCTCACTGGAGCTAATTCACCTACTGAGGAGTTGTGGCAACATCAGTGAAATAGTCTGTTAAGGAAGCTCACTCTAGTGTTCAATATGGCCAAACATAAGAGTGTCAACTTTGTAGAATTATCAAAATC